GCGGCTGAGGAGAGCAGTAGAAGGAGTAGTAAAGCCAGGGTACAAAAGAGCCCATGATCAGCAAAGCAATGCCAGAGTAGTCTAGTCTGAGAGAGAGAGAGAACATGAGAAACAGAGAGATTAAAGTCACTTAAAGTCATTTCTACCATGAAATAGATCATTTAATAACAAGACAGTAAACTTACTTGGAGAAAGTACGAGAGACTTTCTCAGAATGGCAGTAGACAGTGTGAAAAAGCCAGGAGAAGCTGAGGCACAGAACTGCACCCAAGAAGAACATCCCGAACACCACCTTCTCCTGCAGCGGGGCCATGAAGTACATATTGGGCCTTAGCATGGTAAGTGTGCCCAGGCACAAGAATAAGATTAACCCTGTGGAAAAAACAAAAACAATAATGGGTCAATGTGATGCTAATTTTATTATAAGGCAATATTTCAAATTTTTGTTTGTTTAAGTTTTTCATTTAATATTTATATTATATTTCGTCTTTCTTTTAATTACCCCCAAAAAATTATTTTTAATAGTTTTAGTTTTAAGTAACAATATCAACACTGCTTTGGCATAAGTATCTTTATCATGGATGCTTTGTGACTGACCCTATTATACAATTATATTCATTTTTATAATTATTTTAACGTTGTAATCTTACTGACAAAATTCTTTTTAATTTGTTAATATAAAATATTACATTTCAGTATAAGCAAAAGGTTTATCCTGATCTTGCATGCTCTCAAAATTAGAGCAGTGTTTGTTCTTGTAATTGATCTGCTGCATACTTAATGCACTAAATATATGCATGAGGTGCACAATAGCCACTATTCTCTGTGACAGCTCAACAGCGTAACCCTAATCTTACCCAACAAATGAGTCCAGATATTCCCGGTCTCTGTGTGGATCCTGAAAATGCTCCCGAAGCAGGCACGGAACGAGGGCATGGGAGGCCGATGACCGTGCAGGAGGTAGTCATTGTCTTTTAGCCACTCCGGCAGGATGTGAAAGGGAATGACCCTCCAGCGGCCCTCCCAGACCTGCAGAACAGAGATTCAGCATTCATTTCATATCTTTTCAAGCTTTAAAATAGCTGTGCTTAATGCCCACACACCTTATGCACAAACTCCTCCATCTTCTCCATTGCATGGTGAGCCTGCAGAGGTAGCGTCAGAACCTCTCCGATTTCTTCATCCTCCTCTTCATCATCAGCGAGACCGCTTGCTCCCTGTGGTCACAATCACAATCAAAATGAGCCTGCAACACTGCTGGCACAGAATATGTCACAGACTTCATAATGCATTCAGATTAATAATTACTAGGCTTGCCTCTGACTGGACTCCTCTGGCTCCTATGGGGCCGTTCTCCTCCAGCAGGGGACCCAGCTCCATCAGCTCCACCTCGGCAGGGGCATGGCATTCCTCTGTGACCTGGCAGTCTGCATGACTGGCAGACCTGATTTGGCCTGACATCAGTAGACTGCCCTGTGACTCGTCTCAGACCTCTGAAGCCTCCACTTCAGTTCACTGTGAGCCAAACGTAATATATTCAATCAAAACAAAACTTCATTGCCAAAGTCAAGTCATGACAACATCAGTGACCCGTAACAACAACAGAGACGGCTTACCTCTGGCAGAAGCTTTGAACACAGGCAGATTTCAGGATGTTTTCTATAAAATTGCATTCAATCTTGGGGGAAAAAAAATACAACTAGGTTTCATTATTATGACGGAGTTTTAGTGCCATGTAAAAAAAAACAAAAAACTATGATTACGAGATTAAAGTTGAAATAATTTGAGAAAAAAAGTCAAAATTACGAGAATAAAGTCGTAGCAATATGAGAATAAAGTCAAAATATTTTGAGAATAAAGTCAAAATTACGAGAATTAAATTGTAGCAATTATGAGATTAACGTTATAATATTTTGAGAGTATAGCCTTATATTGTGCATGCAAATGGCCCGAAATTCCAGTGGCAACTCATTTGAATATATGTGGGATTATTAGCAGAAATCATACCAAGTGTCATACTCATGGGGACAGTATGCTTGGAAATAATATTTCAGGTCATTGAATGCATTCATTGTTTGTAGTGCGTCAGCCACCGTATAACAGCAATAAGCTTTGTGCTTTTGGTACTTTTAATATAAAACAAAGTCTCAGCTTTTAAATTCTGTCAGTTTTATAGTGAAATACAAACCATATGTCTTACAATAATGTGTTTTTCACGCTGTTTAATGTGGTGTGACAGATCGCTCAGTTTAAGCGGCATGTGAATCAATTAACTTTTCAATGTCAAATATTTCAACTTTATTCTAGTAATTTTGACTTTTTTCTCAAAATATTACGACTTTAATCTCGTAATATAAGTTTTTTTGTTTTTTTTACGTGACACTAAAAACACTGTCGTACATTATCTCAGTTCACAATGATATGAAGTAGCTCATTCTGGCTATGTTTCAAATAACTCAACAATAACTTATAAACCTTTAAAGGCAGGCCTACTGTGAGCTACAAGGTTGTTCATCCATGTAATACACTTTTGGTGATGTTTGTCATCAGCTCACATTGTTTCAACTAATTTTTTTAATAATCATGTTTAACAGAGGAACTGCAAAGAAATGTCAAGCCAACAGAGAATCACACCAAGCGATTATGCTCTCTTTTTGCTCTCAAACTACTTATATATTTGAATAAGCATATTTTGCAATAAATGTAAAATATTTTTTCTATATACATAATCAACATCTTTAAATCAATAGTTCTATATTTAGCCATCATTTTTAATTCAGTGTCATTTGCGATGCTTCATGGGATTTTAGTTCCCCCCCCTTCATTAAAGACATAGTTCACCCAAAAATAAAAATTCTGTCATCATTTACTCACCCTTTTGTCACTCCAAATAGAAGTCAATGGCTACGGGCAAATATTATGTTACCAACATTCTTTAAAATATCTTCTTTTGTGTTCAACAGAAGAAAGAAATTCTTATGATGACAGAAATTTCATTTAAAGCCTCTAAGTACAATGCCTTGTACCTTTGTCTTTTTACCTGATTTTCAAATACTTTTTGCTTCAAATTAAAGTTTGTAATGATTCAGCTTATAGCTGGTTAGTTCACTCTTATACAAAGACTTTTGTACAACCCCTATGGGAAAAATACTTCGGGAACCAAGGTGCTGAAAAAGTGGGCAGACACTTGGCCCTTTCACACAGTAATACCAGTAAATTGCCGTAAAATTACCGGAACAACTATACCAGTAAATACAAAAATGCGCAGTTCACACAGGCAACGATGTTCCGTCTTTTTACCAGTAAAGCACCATTCACAAATCAATTTCAAAATACCGGTAAATTCTGTTACATCATTAACTGGAAATGACCTCTAAAAGGCTGCGCCTCCCGGTGTTGTGTTTGTAAACATGGAGGGGTATAAGCAGTCAGTGTTTTTGTTGATGTTTTCATTTTTGTGTCAAACGTTAACATTCATGCAGCACTTTTGGCCCAGAGACATCTTATTAGACAACTTTAGACATTTCTTTGACTTCCATAAACAGCGCGGAGTAAATGCGTCGTCGTCTTCTTTTTATTTTTTATGGCGGTTGGCAAACCAGCTTGGTGCATATGCATATGGTGCATATTCCGCCGCCTACTAAGATGGAGTGTGAGGCACTGATACCAAGGGGAAAAAAAAAACAATCTATATTTTATCATATAATTTAGTTTTTTCCAATAAATTTATAAGAGCTTTATGTGTTTTATAAGAACTATTTAATATACTCTGCAAGGTAAGAGAATTTATGCCAGCAGATTTTAATTCCTCTTTTAATTGAAATCTTTCATTTTCAAATGCCCTACAATTTGAGTAAATGCACCATCTGCGTCAAAATGCAGATGGTGATTGGCCCAGCGTAGACGTCTTAAAGGGTTAATTCACCCAAAAATGAAAATTACCCCATGATTTACTTACCCTCAAGCCATCCTATATGTATATGACTTTCTTCTTTCAGACGAATACAATCCGAGTTGTATTAAAGGGGTCATATGATGCGATTTCAATTTTTCCTTTCTCTTTGGAGTGTTACAAGCTCTTGCTGCATAAAGAAGATCTGTAAAGTTGCAAAGACTAAAGTCTCAAATCCAAAGAGATATTCTTTATAAACGTTAAGAGTCAACCACGCCTACCTAAAACGGCTCGTTCTAACACGTCCCCACATGTCTACGTCACGATGTGGGAAGATTTGCATAACACCGCCCAAATGTTCACGCAAAGAAAGAAGGCGTAACTTTGATTCTCGCTGTAGTATTGTTGCCATGTGTTTTGTTGTGAAAGCAAAACTACTTTGTTTGGCCTTCCAAAAGAGGACGACATCCGCTTCGTCTTGCCTAGAGCTGATCCGTGCTGGTCGCTGAGGAAATACATTAACTTCGCACTGTGGATCGCCGGATCGGCTTTCACCGAGGACGAAGCGGAGTCCAGCCCGGGGTCGTCACATGTGGTTGCCGCAAGGCCGCCACTCACTCAAGCCTACCCGCCGCCGCTCACTCTAGCCCGCCGTGTGTTTCCTTGTGAAAGTGAAACTACTTTGTTTGGTCTTCCAAAAGAGGACACAACTAGAAATCAGTGGTTAAGTGTATTCGTCTGAAAGAAGAAAGTCAAATACATCTAGGATGGCTTGAAGGTGAGTAAATCATGGGGTAATTTTCATTTTTGGGTGAACTATCCCTTTAAGTCAGCGCGTTCTGAACTCCTGCGTGCTGCTCATACTAGTAAACTTGTGCTGCGTTCACACCGAGCACAATATCGGTATTTTTGAAAAGGTCCTGTTCACACATGATCCCTTAACGGTAATTTAACGGTAATTTACCAGTAAAGACTTTATGTGTGAAAGGGGCAATTGTTGCACTCTATTAAAACTAAACGAAGAATGAATCAGATATTTTGTTCATTAAGTAGAATCGTGAATGTGTGAAAATCAATGAATGACAGATGATGTTCTTGAAACTAATTTATTCTATAATTGTTGTCTCTGTCTGTAGCCTGACAAAATATAATGTCTAGCAGTTGACAACAACTGTAGACAAACTTACTGTAGGCACTTTTTATATACGGACTTATATATAGACTTGTGCGCGACAAAGTGTTTCTCGAATCGGCTGAGTAGACGAGAGATCGACTCGCTCATCCGTCGCCACGAGCTGGCGTCACCGTGTCACCTGCGGAGAAGAGCCACCGAGCGAATCGTTCCTTTTTGTATCAAAATCCTCACCACTAATTCGAATCAAACGTTCGAACTCACATATGGTTCCAAATACACGGTCTAGGTAACGTTAGGCAGCTCATTAGATTTCGAAATAAAACCGATATAACTGACATCGATCTCTGTATTAAGCGGCATCATACAGCAGCACTCATAACCATAACTAACGGAAATTAGCTGCTGGCTAACAACGGGCTTTAAATTTTAGGGAACGAGCAGCCAAAACACCGGTACACGTCATGATCAACACTTACAAGATACATGACATAGCAACAACGATATAACAACAACTATATGATACGCAAACTATGTTTCTAACAACGATTAATTAATTAGTACGAAATTAAGCCTTTTAAAAACACAAAGCTGTTGTAATAAAGCAGGTTAGCATTGAGACCGCTGCGCACCGCTAAACTACAGTGTCTGGATGCGTACATAACATGGGAATCATAATTTTGCCGTTGCATTGAAATAACGATGCATTTTCTCGTATAGACGGTTACCTGATGTCCAGATGCGCTGTTAAAGAAATTAGACCTCTTCCGGATGGCCACCAAATACCAGCAGGATGGAGAAACAAGAGTTGAAAGCTGCCGTATGTCAGACGGCGAGTTCAAACTGGCTCGCTGTTGTCTTTGAAACAGCGCCGCCTGCTGGCGAAAGCCGGCGCTAGATTTGGCAAAGTCCCCACATCGCTCTTTAGGGGCGCTAGCCCATTTATTTGATGGTTCTTGTAAATGTTTCCAAATTTAGAGCAGTAATCTCCAGCAGGTGATTTATTTTATTGTAAAAGACCAGACAGTGGCGGTTGAACACCCATCTGAGGACTGCACAGAAAACACTGAAGGGCTTATCCAAACCACAGCCTGTTTGTGTGATGGTCACATTTATCCAGCACGTGCTGGCAGGCTTTAGGATGATAAAAAAAATCCTACTATCGGCCTTTCAAAATGGAGTATTTCTGTGTTAAACCAGCTGGCCTCTGCTGACAATCTCCTATAATACCCAATCCTCATCCTAGGCAGTCTTTATAATCGCAGTCAATTCAAATGTGAGCATCATACAACCACAACATACATAAAATCCTCCGATTTGGCCATGCAATGCTGGGGGGAGCAATTAAACACAATAAAATGCCAGTGAAAACACTTTAATAAGCACTTTTTTGTTGCTTTAGTGCATTTCATAGAAAACAATTGCATTGCTTTTTAAATTCATATATGGTTAACATAAAAGATAAAACATATGGAGTGCAGCATGCATACAAAAATACTCCAGTGACAGCAAATGCATATCATAATGTATACATACATCAAACAAGAATGCCAGTCATGTCACACAGGCACGTGAATTATAATATTCAGCATTAAATTCAGCAAGCAGGTGTCTTAAAACTCTAGTGCCTTTTTAGTGCATTAAATTGGGGCTTTTTTGTAGTATCAGCATCTTATTGTATAGCACATCAAGCCACAATAGTCAATATAAAGCCCGAGGACACAGCAGACCGTCTCTGTATCGTATTAGAATAATAGGCTTTTACTATGAAAAACCAATTACCTCCGGACAGACTAGCACTTAAACATTTAATATTTATTATATACTCTCCATAAAAAGTATATTCCCTATATATATATATATGATGAGATTTGTAATGCAATATTAGCTTAAACACAATTGAGTGCAATTTAGTATCTTTGGAGTAATTTGTGTCTGGGCCCTGAGCATTGCGAATGGTCTAATAGACGAAACGTTGGCTCTGCCTGTAGCCCAGTTTGTCCAGGTTGGGATTACATGCAAACTGGATCATGGGAGGTGGACCACACATGAGGATCATAGAGTCATCACTGGGTGGAGGCAGGTGCTCCTGAATCATCTCAGCATTGATGAAGCCCTGACTGTACTCCCAGTCTGCAGACATGTAAATGCAGGTAAATGTCAAAAAACAACAACAAAAATATATATGATCAATAAAAATCTAGTCTAAAACACGTCCCAATTCTTAGAAATGTACTGTTTTTATGTTGGTTTCCCTTTTTTGAAAAAGTTGTATCACAATGACAAATGAAATATCAAAAGGAATTTTAATTCAGAAATTAAAAACATTCATCATAGGAGGTCAAGTCATTTTATGTATAAATTACAATATTAAACGCATTTATAAATTGTAAAAATAAAAATATATGTCAATGACCAGCATACACTACTGTTCAAAAATTTGGGGCTAAGATTTTTTTAAAGTTTATTTTTACTTTTTTAATTATTTTATTTAGAAAGGTTTCATTAAACTGATCAAAAAACTTCTATTTAAAATAAAAGCTGTTTTTTAAAATTCTTTCTATTTATTAAACAAATGAGCTGCTCTGCCAGCTACAGCATTTTCCCCTCTTTGTGTCCGTCTTCAGCGTCTCTGGCCTCTGTTAACGTCCCGTTTACAGACTTTGTAATATTTCCACACAAATTACATTTTGGAAAATGCTTGCAAAACAGTTTGTGTGCAAGTCCAGAACAGAGATCGCCTGAAATAAAAAGAAAAAAATAACTGATTTCCGATCGCGCGTTTGGAGCAAAAACAGGCCGGTTCCAATTTATGGCCGTTCAACGTTTTCTACTACTAACATTAATTGTTTCAGGCCAGTGGTAAACTGTTCATTATTGGCTAAAGGAAAACAAAATTCAATTTTTTAAAACAATAATTTTCCGGGACTGGACAATGAGTCATCAATTTTCCAGGTTTTCCAGGATGCGTGGGAACCCTGAATGCAAGTCATCATATTAGAGTGATTTCTGAAGGATCATGTGACACTGAAGACTGGAGTAATGCTTCTGAAAAAATTCAGCTTTGCCTTCACAGAAATAAATGACAGTTTAAAATATATTACAATAGAAAGCAGTAATTTTAAATTGTAATAATGTTTCACAATATTACTTAATATTATTTTTGATCAAATAAATGCAGCCTTGGTGAGTATAAGAGACTTTCAGAAACACAAAAAAAATCTCACTGACCCCAAACTTTTAAAAAGAAATGTATACCAAGCTTTATAATTTGTAGGATCGGTAGGAAGCCATATACCTGCAGGAGCTTGGTCCACTGTGAACCAGAGTTTGAAGCGATCCGGATGCCTTGCCTGAATCTCCTCCAGATCATCCTTCAGCAGAATGTCCTTCTCAGTCTGGAAGGCAGACAAAACGTAAACAGATTCATTTTAGACTTGCAGTTTAATCTGTCTGAACATCACTTTTATTTAACATGTTGTTTATGAACAAACCATTTCATCATGCTCTGAAAGAGATAGTTCACACACACCCACAAAAATTGGTCAGTAATAAATTTAAAACAATCTCTTTTCTAATGGAACACCAACCTGGTTGGCAAACAGCAGGCTGCATGTCGTTGTATCACTTGGGTTTTTGATGATGTCACGAATCAGCTGCAACATTGGCGTAATGCCTACAAAGGGAGCAGAACAAATGACTTTAGTGATCATACAGCTTTATTATGGCTAGAAATGAAGAGTAAGACACTCTACCAGTTCCTCCAGCTATAAGACCCAATGTTCTTACAGTCTTAGTCTCAGCAGGGGTCTTCTTATCGGCCTGTATAGCAAACTGACCTGTTGGGTGGAGATGTAGGTCTAAGGTGTGACCACTGTGTAAATACATCCATCTAAGTTCAAATATTGATAGTAAATGTGCTGAGTCAGACCTTGCCCCTTGTACTCCAGCAAACCTCCTGGTCCTCTGAAGTCAATCACATCTCCAATCCTCAAACTCTCCAAGTACTGGGACATCTTTCCCCCTTCTGGGAACTTTGGGTGCACATTCTTAAAATAAATCTGCAGAATGAAATATGTCAGCTCTATACTACCGTTTAAAACCCCAGGAGCTTTTTTAAGAAATATAGACAATCAGAACCTTAACAACGAGGTCAACGAATCCTTTGTCATCGTCGCTGGACACTGGTGTATAGGGACGCACAGCCAAATTCTCATCAATCCTGGCAGAGAGATAAACATGCTTGCCTTGAGAGAGAAAGACAGGGAGAACGAGTACTTTACTGTTAATAGTTGATACACACCCCAGTCTGTCCATCACGTTCTTGTTTACACCAGGTATGAACATCCGTATCACATGATGCCGTCACAAGTGGAGACACACTATTGTTTACATCTGGTAACTTGCATCTCAGTTGGGTCTGATTTTGTGACTACATACACCACTTGCTATGTCAGTATGGTAGTGCATGTTAAAGCGCAAAAAGGTAAAATAATCATAATTACAATAATAATTTATACATGTTGTGTGTGTGTGTGTGTATATATATATATATATATATATATAATGTGAGGGGTGTACTCGCTTCTGTGAGATACTGTAAATTAAAGTTATTATGCTGACCAAGCCTGTATTTGTTTGATCAAAAATACAGTAAAAACAGCAATATTGTGAAATATTATTACAATATTTGTTTTTTATTTTAGTTTTAAATGTAACTTATTCATGTGATGGCAAAGCCAAATTTTCAGCATCATAACTCCAGTCTTCAGTGTCACGTGACCCTTCAGAAATCATTCTAATATGATAATTTGCTGCTGCTCAAGAAACATTTCTTATTATTATCAGAGCTGAAAACAGTTGAACTGCTTAATGTTTTTGTGGAAAGAACTGCATTTATTTTGTAACATTCTGATTTCTGTTAGTCACTTGGTTAATTGAATGCATCCTTGCTGAATAAAAGTAAAAAACAACTTTCTGACCTCAAACTAAATAGTATAGATACTGATTTGTATATACCCTAGACATATTTATTATAATTATTTTTGTCTTATAACTGTACTAGTGAACATATTAAGTTGAATGTGCACAATCTGTGTCATGACGTTGATATCAGGAAATATTAGAAAAAGCATAAAACCACAAACTAAACCCTTGTTTTAGTGCAAAGGTTGATTGACATCAGGACAGATCAGCATTTTCACTACAGATCTGATGTGGTTTGTGTTTCTTAGTAATTGGCTCACACGATGTTTTGAACCCCGTCTACATCTGAATTTAGAGCCGTCCACTAATGCCTTATATGTAAGCTAATTGTGCATGTTTAAACAAGCTGCTTTTCAAATCCTACACTCATTTATCATTTAGCACACAGTTCTTTTCCAAAGCAGTTTACACAACAGGACAGGTGTGGGATGTCAGCATGCTTCAGACCAAACCCTGCAACCTTTGTACTAGCAGCAGAGAAACAACCAACCCACCACCCAGTCCTCAGACTACTTACCTACTGGTAATCCCAAAACATGCTCTGGACTGGGCAGGGCGAACCGAAACCTGCGGGTATCGTGGCTTATGATCTGTAGGAAAAGAAAAAAAGTCTTATTTTGTCAAAAGCATCTTGTCAGTACCACGAATATAAATTCTAGCACATGGAAATAAATAGACAGGGCAAATACCTCTTTGTCTACTAGTCTCAATTTGTATTTTTCAGAGGGATTAATCAGGGTAATCTGTGGTTTCCTTTTCCTGTTGAAGTAATAATAACCCAGCAGACCTGCTGTTGAGACCAGCACCACTCCAACCGACACTGCAACTGTAGTGGACTAAAAATACAGATTAGTGCACATTAACACGGTTTAAAAACATATAACAGAAAACAAAAACAAAAAAAACGCCAAACATGCATTCACTGATATGCAACATACAACAGAAAAGTGACTCAACCATTAACAAAGATTCTCCGCAGTTTCAAATGCCTGAATGAATCATCTGTATTTCCTAAAATAAACGTAGAATTGACGTTTCTGCTTTGGTATCCCATTTCAAGAAGAACTGTCTGCTGATTTCGTTTTCTACAAAACAAAAATGTATTTGAAATACAAATGACTGAATAGCATAGTTAGTGCCATGACTAGTCAATATGCTGTGCTGATAAACCGACAACCAGCAATGTTAAACAAACTTGGTGGCATGCCAAAGCAACATTTCCTCTCAATAATAGTTCATTGCTGCAGTTAAACTTTAGTGTATTCTCTAAAGCTTTATGATTTACCACTGCGTAACTCATGCCAGCAGATCTACTTCTACAAGGAGATTCAGTCAGAACGAAGCTTCAGCCTTTAAACATTAGTCGGCACACCCATGAACATGCAGGCAGCTGTGTTGGAGGCAAACAACGCTGCGCACTCGTTGCGCATAATAAAACGATTCGAACGCATTTCGTTCGGCCTAATGCCATCCACATTACAACATATCTAATGTCTGTTGTCGGCGGAAACCCATACAACCAGATAAAAATAAAAGTCCTGATAAATGTATGTATATATATTTAAAAAGTGGAATAAAATTTCCTTAATTTCTTTGTCCAAAGATTACAACACTTTATTTAAAATTAGATGTTTTAAATTAAAGTGCAAATAATAAATGTCCTCTGATTTCTTTTTGTTTAGAAATAGATTTGTAAAAATGCAATACAATTTTAAAAGTAAAAACGTGAAAGTAATTAAATGCCCAGAAGAAATGTTATTTAGTAAAGGAAAGCCAAGTCTAATCCACAAATTCTAAAAAAGTAGAAGCAATTTCCTGAATAATTAATACAGATTGTTATATCAATGCTGAAAGCGCCATCATTTTAAGATACCAGGGTGCTTTTAAAAGTAGATAATTGCATACATTGGTTCCCTTATATTTCCCTAATTCATTTATGTTCAAGCTATTATCTTTTTCACATAATTGCGAACATTGAAGTGAAGCTGATTCGAGGTGGCTGAGAAAACCTCCAATGCCAAAGACTTTGTCTCTTCTGATCCATTCCAAAGGGCCCGATAAACTGGTAATGTGTACTTCTGTTTCCCCTGAATGCAAAACATGAAAATCAGTCTTTTAAAACAAGTCAACCAGTCTCTAAGCATACCAACAATCAAATTATTAGTCTAAACAGCTAAATGATGAATAAATAGTTGTACAGATTCTAACCTGGCTTGTGAGGAAATTGCGAATATGTTGGAATCCTGGTTTATGCTGATTCTTTGCAACAACCTGGGCCCATCGCAGTTTCAGCTCGGCATTTTTGGACTCAATAATATGCGAGTAGCACTCCTCCAGCTTCTTTATGTGGCCTGTTAATATGGGGATATTATTTATTTTACAATCTACTTAAATACAACTTTTACTATATAAAAACAAACCATCAACACAAGGAAGTATTTGCACCATCTGGAAGTGGTGACTTCTCAAGGATCTTTTCCAAGAAGTAGACAGTTTGGTAGGTCTTCCACAGTTTTATATCAGTTTTGCAGATAGATTCCAAGTCTAGGTTATGATCAACCCACATTTCCGCTAACAGTTCTGCTGGTTTCATTAGCTCCTGACCAGCAGAGAGGTCAGGCACATATGCAGGCCAACCTGACACATTGAGCCAGCTGTCAAAATCCAGACCTAATAAACAACCGAGAAGAAACAAAAGCTGATGCAAAAGGCAGTCTGACCAAACAGTATGAATTTATCTTTTGTGATTTTATGACAAAGAAATGCTACTAATGCTCTTTTTCTGCACCCTCAATTTTGTGGACATTCTTCTCTTTCAGGTCTGGGAAATACTCCAGGTAGAAGTCCAATGCATCCTCTGCCAACACACTTCTGAACTTGAACTTGTCCACATAAGCCTTGAAGAGACACAATTGAATTGCTCTTTTATCATACTTATTTACATATTTTTATTTGTACATACCAAAGGTTTTCAAACTTTTTGAAGAGCGACCCTTTTTTTCTTTTTAAATTTACGGGACATGATATATATATATATATATATATATA